TTGATTGAAGCTAGTTTTCACCTAAAAAAGTTACTCAAAGAATCAGGTTCACTAACTGTTGAAAATTCAGTTGAGATCTTTCATGAATATTTATCTTCAACCAAAACTAAGCCATTATTCTCTCGTCTTTTGTTACATCCGGGTGTAACTGAAGAACAAATCGAATAATTCATGTCACCCATTTGCCAATTAGCCGAGCAACTAGTCGATATCGAATTGGTCGTTTTTTTTCGATGAAGTGGATACTTCATCGTGCCTTGACTTATTCAAAGAAATGTTCATTGATAGAACATTGCACGGAATCAAATTACCAAAGAATATGTTTTTCACCGCTGTTGTTAATCCATCAATATATCCATTACCTAACGATAATCGCGCTCATCGTAGTGGTTATCTCGTCCATCGATTACCACAATCGCTCGAAAATTTGAAAGTCTGCTATGATATACTAGAACCAAAAACTTTAGAAGATTATATTCAATAAAAAATATCAATGTTTCGTGTTGACTCATTATCAAATAATAGTGAAACACAAATGCCATTAGAAGAATATGTGCAAGAAATGCTAACAAAATCTATTCTTAAAGCACAAGAATTTTGTGAGAAACATCTCGGTATGTTCTGATTTAGTGTTTGAATCATTTTTATTATCTTATTTTTACAGGACGAAATTCTGTATCACAACGAGAAATTCAACGATGCTTCAATCTTATTGGATTTTTCTGGAATATGCGGTACGACGATGAAATTAATGATCACGAAATTCAATATCAATCACGTGCAAAACAATGCATTGCGTTAGCACTTGCGTTGACATATTATTTTCGACTTCCCACTGCAGAAGATAATTTACAACGCAATGATACTCAAACACCCACACGTGAAGAACTGGATCAACTACTGTCGAACATTATTCCAGATTTCTCTGATATGATAGAACAAGAACTGGAAAGATTTGTTAACACAAATAATTTTGTGTTTCCAGAGGGAGTTGCCATTAATCAAGCCGTATGTTCATTTCCTTTGAATCGTTTCATTATATATAAAATTGTTATTGTCTTCCTTTTCATTAAAGGTTCGTGAACATATCTTCTCGATTGTTGTCAGTATCGCTACTCGAACACCACTATGCATCATCGGTGAACCTGGTGAGACTCTATTTTTTTCTCTTTTGATAACATTCAATTAGTGTTATACTGTAATTAGGACAGTCGAAAACGCTGTCGTTTCAAATTGTTCTTCAGAATCTTCAAGGATTACAACTATCGATGAAAACGTTTTGCAAACGTTTGCCTGCCATTGATCCTTTCTTTTGTCTCGGATCAAAATACACTTGTGCGGAAGACATTGCACATGTATTTGAACGTGCTGTCAGACGTGAGCAACACTATAAGCAGAATGGAATGAACATACGATGTGTGAGTTATTTTGATTCAACAGTTGTAGACCTCGAGATAGTGTCAACTTTTGCACAGTTATAAGAAGAATATACTTGAGTAGTAGTAATATGCAAATGAGAAAAATAGCTTACTTAATATTTATTTAAACCTCATATTTTTAGAATCTTTTTGAAATATTTGAGATTTATTTTCTTGATTATCTCACTACAAAACGAAACAAGATAGCACGAACAAAACAAGAAAGAATGGTTGAGTTAACTAGTTGAGTAACGCATCGCAAACAGAAAAATTTACGTCTATAAAAAGAAATGATAGTAAGTAGTGATTTAGTAGGTAATAGGACTATTTTCTACCAGTAAGTTACAATGAAACAGAGATTAGGGAGTGAGACGATTCGTCGCACTCTTGAGAGTAATCAAAGTTATTGTTTAATACCATCCTATGGTCTGTTTTTCTTTCTTAAATTTGATATAAATGTTGTATACAATTATAATTACTTGGAAAGTACATGAATAACTAAAATACATAATTCTATTATTTTGCTTTATGTTCAACAAAACTTGGAACTTTTCTACACCTTAAAGTGTTCATTATTAATCTAACCCCCAACAGAATAGAAAACCAGTCTCAAGATTATGATCTTTCAAATGAAATAGAAGTCCAGCTATCCAAACGAGCACAATTTAGAAATGCGAATCATCGAAGATATTAGTTCATCGCTTTTCATTGTTTAGTTGTAACTTGTTTAGTGTATCTAAATTCATTTGTTCTACATGTTTTCTGTTGATGAACAAAAAAGTTTCTTTCGTGAGCCGAAAAATGTGTACACATGGGCATTAATGAGAAGCGGCTGTTCAAGAGCTTGCAGATAGGAAATAGTCATGCTTCAATACCATTATATGATGCTTATTCTTGTTATGAGACTATACAGTCTTGAAGTGAAGCGATGCAAACTTTTATTCAGTTGGAAGAAATATGAGCAAATCTTTAACTGAAAAATGAGACATCTAATAGAGCTTAACGACAGTTGATGGAATTCACGCGAGAGTTTACTAGACACAAAAGCAAGTGCCATTATGAGATGAGTACGACAGCTATTATTGAAATACTCATAAGATTTAAACTATCTATTTCATAAAAATGGGAAACACCAATTTGGCAGCATAGAGTTTACTTTATACTTTTTTCAAGATATGACAGAGCCATATCGGTACACGCCTGGTGTAAGTTTTTCTCAATTCCTCCGAAGCTCGATAGTTTCTTAAACCGAAGTGTCGTAATAAGCACGGTTCAACGTATCTTAATTAAGATCCACGAAGTGCTGATGACAGGTGAACATGCCAATGAGAAAAATAGTGCAATGAATACATTACTTAGGTTATATGATAATATGGAGCTGAAAAAGTATAGAAGTCAATTTTTAATTCGTTGGTAACTATCATGGCTTGCATCAAAGTTCTCAGACAGTTTGAAAACTCCAATTTGTTGAATCATATGCACTTCTGTTCTTGTAAGTGTATCAAAACATAGCTACAACATAAAAAAAAGATCATCACAATAAAAGCCCACCGCCAAGCTTTTGATTTGTGGAACAAATTAGGGTGTGGGTGTGTGTGCGTATGACTGAAGAGAAGACCCACACCCACACCCACACCCATACCCACACTCACACCCACATCCGCACTCACACTCACACCCACACAAACACCCACACCCTAAATCTGAGTTTGATCGATAACAAAACAGTATTCACTGGACAAAATATCAGGAATACTCCATGTCTTACATTCCAATCGCATTGACAAAAACCTCGAGTCCTAAATAAATAGAGTGATGTCAATAAGTTTGTGCGTCGCAACAAACACTTCAAAGCATCCTTTTTACAGAATGGAAAGAAACTCATGGGAGAGGAATGACAAAATGATTTTTTCTTGTTACTATACAAACACAAAACAATAGTGTTTGACTCTTGACGACAAAGAAAAGATGATGAACTTCGAATCTTTAGCTGACGAACTGTTACTTGAAATATTCGAATTTTTCGATGGTATTCATCTCTTTCGTACCTTTAACAATCTCAATTCCCGTTTCAATATACTTCTCTTCATACATTTTCGAAAATATAACTTCGATTTTCGAAATGTCTCGGCGCTTGATTTTGATCAACTATGTAAACAAAATCTACCATTGATCCTCGATCGAATCACTACACTTTATCTTTCCAACTACATAGAAAATCCCGATACATTAAAACGATTTTTATCGTATGGTTTTACTCTCGATCTGTTTACTCATTTACGATCACTAACTATTGCACGTTCGCATTCGTTTGACGAAATCAATCGATTTTTAACAAGTTCCAATTGTCAAGTTCATTTGACACATCTAAAAATCATCCAATGTGCCGCGTCGAGTACGGATAGTTTTGTTCAATTGTTGAACAATATCTGGCATCTACCTAAACTAACACATTGTCATCTATGGGGAATTCAGTCATATGATCCAGATCTGTTCATGAAACTCACTGTAGTTTCATCGATTGAACATTTAATTATTGCACATCACATGTTTGAGAAAAAGAATCTGGCTAATCTATGTAAACATTCGCCTCGTCTTCGATACCTTGAAGTGACTTTTGTTCATCATTATATGTATGAACATGCACTTACTATCATTCCATCCATAACGACACTGAACATTTCCATCGGCTCGGAATCGAATACGATGATTGATCTCTTACAATTCGTACCCAATTTACGCAATTTAATAGTTCGCTCCACTTGTCTGTTGACTGGACATCAATGGAAAAAGATCGCTATCGATCATTTACCCAATATTAAGAAATTAAAATTCGAAATGTGTTTTAATTTAGAGGAAAATGGATATACTAAACAACAGCTTGACGAACTTTTCGATACATTTCGAACACCTTTTTGGATTAATGAACATCAATGGTTTGTTCGATGTCATTGGCAACATTGGGATCTTCACCACGATACTCAAATCTATACTATACCGTATTGTTTTGATAAACTAATTAATTTTCATCAGACTATTTGGTGTAAATCGACTTGTCCTAATCATCTAGACTATTGGTCTTATGACAGTGTACATACAGCATCACTTGGACACAATCTGGACCGAAACTGGCCGCTATATCCAATGCGCCTTCCTAAGCTTACTTCACTTGTAATAGAGTTTCCTATGCATCCACGTCTTTGGAAAATTATACCCAATGTCAATTATCTGACGTCAATGAGTGTTCGTCAATACGGTAATACAAAAGAATCTGAATTACTGTATCTATTCAGTCGTGCACCCAATCTCTATTCATTGACAATAAATCGAGAGCGTACAGTAATATCAATGCCAATTAAAACTACATCGATTCGTAAACTGAATTTTACAAAGTATTCTGATAATGGTTCCTTCGATATTGGAAAATGTTCGGCATTGGCCCAATCATCATTGGGACGGCAATGTGAAATTTTAACTGTTGCCATCCAAACACGATCCAATGTTCTAGATCTTGTCCAGACAATGCCCAATCTTCGAATATTATTTTGTCACTGTCACTCAGACCGTTACAACAATGAATTTATTGACTGGTTGAGAGATCATCTACCACCTATGTGCACCTTTCGTAAAGTTCTAGGATACAGTTCCGAAATCGAAATACTGATTAAGAAATAAATTAAGATTGTCCATAATTAATACGACGGTGAGTGTCAGAATGTAGGGATGATCAGCATGTTCACATCCTCATCCTCATACTTCGTTAATAAATATCAAAACTAGTATAGAATATTGCTTTAAGAAACATTAACTTAATTTGCAATCGTCGAAACCGTCTTGCATCGTGTATCTAGAGAAGAATGTGCTTTCGTTGCGTCCCGTAGGGTGTGAGGGTGACGGTGTGTGAGTTATGATGATCGGTGAGTCCACAGAAGATGTGATAATAATCGATAATCGGTGTTGAGTGGAGTAGAGGTGGCGGATTAGCATTAAATTTAAAAAAATGAGTGTGGGTGGGTTTGGATGTGGATGTGGGTGGGGTGTGAGTGTGGGTGTGACTGGGTGTGGGGAGTGTGGATGGGTGCGGGTGTGGGCGCTGTGGGTGGGTGTAGGTGTGGGTGTGGGGAGTGTGGGTGGGTGTGTAGATGGGTGGGTATGCAGGTGTTGGTGTGGGTGTCGGTATGAGTATCTTTCTCTTCAACATCCCCACACACACCCTCAAGATAGCCACACCCAAACCCACACGCACACCCACACCCACACCGAAATTTCATTAGTTTAATCGTTTCAAATAGATTCTATCAATCGATAGGTGAAATAGTGTGCAATTGGTTGTTTTTTTCTTGTAAAATAGTAACTATTTATATTCAATTGAGTTTTATTTAAAGGTTCGATAATAGTTTCTGTTGTTTTTGTAGCGTTTGAAATACGAATATATCAATAAAAAGATAAATTCTTAAATTATCTTTCACAAATATATGTTTGAATATTATTTTTAGAAAAATATTCTATCAATCAATACAGGATAAAACAAACGTGTTGGTCTATAAAAGAAATTCTTTTTCGAATAAATCTAAAACGTTTACAATACTATACATGAACTGATTGATTCTGTTTTCATGATTATCTTCATTAATTATATAGATGTATTGTAGATCAAACGACTGATAAAGAAGTTCTGGTGTATGACGAAAAATTTTTCGTTCTAACATAATAGTTTTATGTATTTCTTGTATATTGAATAGAAATTAATAATTAACAAGATATCATAGAAATCATGAAAAGAAAAGATATTTTTTCCTATCATTCTAACAGATTGAAAGTAACTCACATATTCATTCAGATATTTATGTAGGATTTCACTGCATTTGATGAGACAATTAATTACGTCATGTTCAATGTCAAGAAAATTTTTGATGTTTTTTATTTTGATGATATCAGACTTTTCTCTGATTGTGTATTTAACCAAAATTTTTTGTAGGAAAATTGTTTTATTTGATTTAGTACCATGAGTTATATGTTTGTCACATTTAACTATTTTGATTCTCATAATGTCTATTATTGAACAATTTTGATAGTGAATAAATAAAAATTTGCTCATGTCTGTTTTCTCTTGCCTTGGTGGGAAAAATAAAAATATAGCTATAATGCGCAATACGACAGTAAAAAAGAATAATAACCTTTCATCATATATTAGACAGACGAACGTTTAACACGTCGCTGCATTGACTGAATGTGAACGTTTTCTTTTTGTTCGATTTCTTCGGCCTGCATGAGAAAGAAATGAAAATGTCTCTATTTTTCTCTAACATATATTGACGAATAAAACAGCACTCGAATATTCTATGATATAATGTAGATTGAGATAAATGCTCTGTAATGGTTTGTATGCATTTTCTTCTAGTTTTCAACGTTTTAGTTTGATTGAAATATAAAAATTATGCAAGTAAACAATAGTAGATTACGTCTTCTGTTGTTTTGAGTTTTGACATAAATTAATAGCTTATCGCTTGTACAAAATATACTGGCAAATATGTTGCATCCTAATTGTAATCAAAATCTGACGAAAAAATCAGAATTTGTTTTATTTTTATAGAAAAGAAGAAAAGTATGTATTCGAAGTTTTCTTAAGATAATCATTGTTTTTGCGAATTGTAGAATATATATTTTAATTGAATAGAGTGATGTTGTCAAAAATTCAACTTCTTCTCACAAATAGGCCTTCTACCAACAAATTTTCCTTACAGTTCAGTCCATTATAGAGACATGCATCACTCTATGAAAGTAGCTTCATCGTATTTTATATTTATTGCTACAAATTCGAATTTCTCATAATTATTATTTGACTAAACTTGTATCTAGATCTCTCCATTTATACAATGATAAGTTTATCTTCTGATTAATAACTAAATGAAGAAGAAAAAGAGTTTGTTTTTGTGTACTCAAAAAGTGAGTATACTATAGAATCAGTCAGTGTGTCCGGCTGGCCGTTTACACGATAACTCTTGAAAGATTCATCCGATTGTGATGAAATTTTGCACACAGAATCGTCTCATCGATATCTCGGTCGAGTTCGAAGATGAGAATGATTCATCAAGAAATTGCTCAGTTATCGAAAAAAATATGATTATTTCCTATGCTTTTCTATGCGAACAATGACCAATCACCATTTTGTAAAACACTTTTTCTCTCATAATCAAGCAAAACCTCAGCTTTTATATACGATTCGATAGAGAATTTCACGGCCTACAATATGGTATATTAAACATTAAGAAACAAGAAGGCTAAGTCACCTATTACAAAGATACTTAAACGGAAATTGGTTCTATATTTTTCGACGCTCTTATTCATCGAAAATAAAAGCCTTATCTTTCGATCAGAGAAGCGATACTTCCAGATTTTATCACACTTGAACAAAAGTTTTCTGGGGCGGAGAACTTGAATCTGAGATCCACTTGCCTCGAAATCTTATTGATTGAGCAGTAACGAATAGAAATCCAGTTTTAAGAAAAACGGCTTGCTAGGATAATTTTGATGTCTAGACATGCTATCCTGACTCATCTGCCTAGTTTACTTTTTCAAGTACACATAACACTCGGATTTAAATCCGAGGTTTCCACATTAATTTTTTTTGATAAATGTAGCATAAATTAATACTGAAATACTGAATTTTTTTGAATTTTGGTTCTGATCTTGAAAAATAGAAGAACAGAAGGTATATTTTTTTTTCATTTTAGATTCTGATTGACAATATATTCAGTCATTGTGAGGAATTCGTATGTTTAGGATAAAATTGAAATAAATGTGGGAACCTCGGATTTAAATCCGAGTATTATGTGTACTTCAAAAAGTAAAGATAATTGACGACAGATTGGTTTTGATCAAACTGTCTAAAATAGAAATTGGGTTTTAGGAAAAACGGCTTGTTAGGATAATTTTGATGTATAGACAGGCCATGATGACTCATACGTCTAGATTGACCATTGTGTCTCAGTATCTAAGTCAATAAAGATCGCAGGAGACCTAAATATGCGAGTACTGTTCTTGCAGTTCATTGACTCATAAGGTGGCAGTCATCAATTTCAGCTGAAGTAAGTATCTTTGTAATAGATGATTTAGCCTTCTGGTTTCTTAATGTTTTATATACCATTTTGTAGCCCGTGAAATTCTCTATCGAATAGTATATAATAGTTGAGGTTTTTATTTTGATTATGAGACAAAAAGTTTTTTACGAAAACCGGAATAGGTCAATGTTTGCATAGAAAAGCAGCACAGGCAACAATTACATTGTTTGCTATAACTGAACAATTTTGTTGACGAATCGTTCTCATCTTCGAACTCGACCGAAATATTGATGAGACAATTCTGTGTGCAAAATTTCATCACAATCGGATTACTCTTTCAAGAGTTATCGTGTAAATGACCGGACGGACACATTGATCGATTCTATAGTGTACTCGCTTTTTGAGTACACAAAAAGAATTGATTCTATAATACTATGTTGAAAATATTTTCATTCTTTATTCTAAGCAATTTTTTCATGAATACATAATTGTTCATAGAGTAAATATGCCTAATAAAAAGAAAAAAATTCATGATTTATATTTTTTGATTTAATGCGTAATTATTCGAGATTTAATAAAAAAATATTTTTCTAGTGCTATAATTTTTGAAACATGTTCTTTCAAATATAGCAGATTGAGACTAAGACATTATTGTGACTTTTGACACCTTAGTCTTGAGTAATGTTTGGCGTGCTAAAGCTTTTTTTGTGCACGATCATGTATTAGTCATTCTTTCTGACTTGTCTTTAGTCACAATCT